GGGTGTAAACAGGAGTCCCCCAAGTTCTCGAGCGAGATTTCTCGGTCGGGGACTTGTATGTCCTTCGGTAGCCGCTCGGTTAATCTACCGTTCGGTAGTCTGTCAAGGAGGCACGCTGGGGCCCTGTGCTGGTGCCGATTGACTTTAAAAACTTGCCCGGAAACTCAAGAGTTGCCACTTCGAGGGTTACCGTTCGGCAGGCTTTAGCATGTTAAGGGGTTCCGAGAGACGCTTGCCGATATTCTGTTAACTTGGGCGAGTTTGATCTTTTCTCATGCGACCTCGTGCATAGTGAGGGGTAGTGATGGGACAGAATGACGCTTCGTCTTCTGCACCCAGCGTGCTGTCAGAGATTCCACTCAGCGCACGACACGTGGCGTGTCTTATCACGCGGAGCGGCGCCATTAATGCGCCGTTTGGTATCCCGAGGCGTACCGTTGCAACTTTCGCCTTATAAATAGGAGGAGTCTCAGAGGCGAAATTCACTTTGCATTTGTGAGTGAGGCGAGAGCTCTGTCCAGGCGATTTTTGACGAGAGCGAACGGTAACATAGGCGATTTCCGGCGAGAGCAAACTGCAACACAAGCGATTTTCGGTGACAGCAAACGGTACGCCTTTGAGGACGTAGGCATCAGTAGGATAGTTCCATGCATCACCCTTAGTTTCCTTCCGTTGCTTTTGTAGATGTCTGATAGCGAGTCGGGATTCGAGAGTGAGCCCAACGCCTTTGAGGAGGAGTCTCCAGATAGGGGAAAGACTACCGATAGTGAAGAGTCAGCCCAGGATACCGATAGCGATAGTGGTTCTGAGGTGGAAGTGGTTGGCGAGAGGGTTAGACCTGCGCCCACTCATGGAATCGGTAAAGGGCTTATGACTAGTCAGCCCTTACCGTTGACGGTCGGCAGGTTGGCTTGGGCCTGCATTCCGAGCCTGAAGAGAACGTTCGGATGCCGGAGGCATCTTCCAGTCACCGTCCGGAGGCTTCCACTTCAGGCCGTGGAGAGCCTTCCGAGTCACTTTCTGTGCCGAGGGTACCGATGGGGGTAACGAGAGAGCAGCTCTTTGATGTAGACTACCTGCCGCCCAACAAGTTGACCTACCCTACCGAATCCCTGAGCAACCCCCAGGACGGTGAGGTTGCGTTCTTCACCGACGTCCTTCAGCAGGGCGTTAG